GATAGATAGATAGATAGACAGATAGACAGATAGAAGGATAGAAGGATAGATGGATAGATAGATAGATGGATGGATGGATGGACAGACGAATGGACGGACGGGCGGAAGGACAGACAGATAGATAGATAGATAGATAGATAGATAGATAGATAGATAGATAGATAGATAGATAGATAGATGGATGGATGGATGGATAGATAGATGGACGGACGGACGGAAAGACAGACAGACAGATAGATAGATAGAAAGATAGATGGATGGATAGATGGTAAGATACAATGATAGACAGAGAGAGAGACAGATAGACAGATAGAAGGATAGACGGATAGATAGATAGAAAGATAGATGGATGGATAGATGGTAAGATACAAAGATAGATAGATAGAGAGACAGATAGACAGATAGAAGGATAGACGGATAGATAGATNGATAGAAAGATAGATGGATGGATAGATGGTAAGATACAAAGATAGATAGATAGAGAGACAGATAGACAGATAGAAGGATAGACGGATAGATAGATGGTTAGATACAAAGATAGATAGATGGATGGACAGATAGATAGATGGATGGACAGATAGGTAGAGAGATAGATAGATAGATAGATAGATAGAAGGATAGGTAGATGGATGAAGGGATGGGCAGAGGTGAAGTCTCCGGAGCGTGTCTCCGCCTGGCAGGGGGGGGGGGGTACTCCTGACTCTCCTTTCTGTCTTTGGTCTGAACAGGGGAGTGGGGGGAGGTTCGGGGGGGGGGGTGTATGGGTTCGTGCGTGTCGTTCGCGTGGCCAGCCGCCGGCTCTGATTGGCTGATCACCGGCACGCTTCTCTTATGTTAATGAGCAGCTCCCGCGGCACGGGGCAGGCCTGCGGGGGGGGTCTTTGTGCGTGCCGGTATAAGAACGCACGCGGGTCAGTCGTGTGCCAGGCTCAGCGGCTCCACAGCAGAAAGACGCACAGAGGCGCGTGTCCATCAACACATAGGACCTGTTGGATCCGCGCTCACGCAACAGCTCGCTCCAGGTAAGTTGAGGCGCGTGACTCACCTGCAGCTGCCTCGCGCTCCGCCGCAGGTCTCACTCTGTGTCTCTGTCTGTCTCTGTCTCAGATACTCATGCACTGTCTGTCTCTGTCTGTCTCAGATCACTATGGACTTCTTCCCTCACACCGATGACGAGGACTCCCTCGGCAGTCTCCGGTGCTCGTCCCCGGAGCAGCCGCAGAAGAAGCGGCGGCGCGGCCGCGGCGGAGGCCCGGTGCAGGTTGTGAAGAAGAACCGGAGGGTGAAGGCCAACGACCGGGAGAGGAACCGGATGCACAGCCTGAACGACGCGCTGGACACGCTGCGCGGTGTCCTGCCCGCGTTCCCCGACGAGACCAAACTCACCAAGATCGAGACTCTGCGTTTTGCGCACAACTACATCTGGGCTCTGTCGGAGACAATCCGCATCGCAGACCTGGGGAAGACCGGGGACATCTCGCTGCTGCTGAACCAGACCCGCCACGGTGGAGCCCCGAGCCCCGGCAGCGACACCTGCTCCTGGAGCTCCAGCGGCTCCTCGTCCTCCTCCTCCCCGCCTTACTGCGCCTCCAGCCCGGGCAGCCCCGCCGCGCAGGAGGACCGCGGCTTCCTGCAGCAGGACCCGGTGTTCGGCTTCCGTAGCCTCGTACCGGGCATCTACTGAGGAAGAGGAGGAAGAGGCCCTGCAGACTCTTCATCATCACACGGCAGAGAGACAGGAGACATTAGACATGAGACCGAATCACTGTTGCCTTACAGCCGCTCGTGTCTCTGAGGACAAATGAAATATGTCCACTTCTTTGTGATTGAGTTGATTTTGTGTTTTTCCTCAGAAGCTTCGCACTTTTAGTCTCCAGCAGGTTTTTACTCAGAACTTTTAGTGTGAAAATCCACAAAGACTCAATTTATTTATTCCACTCGACTCGTTTTGCTTGGTCACTTGATGAAATTTGTATTTTGTACATAACAAGATTTTTATTCTATTTACTTTGCTTTTCTACAAAATGAATAAAGTTATAACGTTTCTATAAAACTTTCTCTTTGATTCTTAATATTCATAAGTTCACGTCACATGGAGGAAAAACAACGTGACATCGTTTAACTGCAGCAAAACCAACAAAACAAATTTAAATAACATTTATTACAACATTATTATTGTTGCTGTTAATATGGTTATTGTTGATAATTATGAATTGTTATTATTATTAATATTGTTATTATTATTACAGTCAATGTAGGTTCACTGTGGTGTGATGTCAC